TCCCGCTTTGGACGGGATTGTCCCGGTTTCAGAGTGTCCGTCCCGCTGTCCCCAACGAGAACAAAAAAGTCCCGCTTTCATTTATCTGTTGTGCATGTGTTTATTAGAAACTTACCGAATGCTTACTTATCCCAAATCCTTATTGTATTACAAAATACATAGTAAAGTAACTCTAATTTTGCTGTAGAAAAGTATTATAGTTTTTTTTTTGTTACGATTTTTTTTATAAATATTGCTTTAATGGTAAGTTGCTATAAGAATTAAGATGTCAGCGAGGGTAAGATACCATAATAAATTAATTCAAGTCATTTTTAAACCATATCTTTTGCTTTTATTTATTTATTTATTAAGTTGCACCAACAAAGTGATCATCAATACAAAACATTAACAAATTGACAAAAGTTCATGGCAGATGTCACCTCAATTATAGGTGCAATCGACAGTGCATTAACATTAAAAATAAAAAAAAATATTACATCTTAGCCCGACGTACCTTATATATGTATTTATTTATATAAGAAATACCGGAGGCGCTTTGACACGAAAAAAAATTGTCACGTTAGTTATAGGCCAATATACATAATATGTATATTGCAATTTCCCTAAAGACGACTTCCAGGTGGCGATGCAACTGGCATCCAATATCCGCTTTACACCAAGTGTCCTGTAACCTGACCGCCGGTCCGGCGTCCCGAGGGGGACGGGAGAGATGTGCTCCGCACTAAACGCTTCACTTTCCCCCCTTTGCCTTTTCATGAGTTCTGTCTCATGCGAGGTTTGGGTGTTGGTTGTTGAGCGACAGGAGGTTTTAGTCAGTTCGACTCTGACATGCCCCGCCCTCCACTGGGGACGGAGGGCGGGAGTCGGGAGATTTCCTCTTGACCAAAAAAAAAAAATGTCCTGTAACCTAAAAAATATAAAGGCATATCCTATTTTTCGTGCTTCGTTGTTCTAGTGGATTCGTCGCGCGCCATATCGTAACGTTTTTCGTTCGTAATTACAAGCGGTGTCGTAACAGCGACCGTTCAGCTCGGAGCCAGCTTGTGGTGTCTACTCGGCTGCTAACTTGGACTAAAATCACATTTGATTTGGCATAGATAACCAGCATCAAAGCGTTTTATGTTATCAAAATTAAGATAGTTAAAATGCCTATAATTTTTTTTTATCCTATCCTATTATCATATCTCGTCTAAATAAGGAAAAAAAAGATTTATGAAAAACTTAGGCACTAATCCTATTACTACAGGAATTTTGGAAATTTTGAATGAAACACTTCAATCACTACGTACATTTGATTTCGCCAGATTAACTTAACACAACCTAAAAGTTTTGAAGAAACCGAAACAGATAAAAGTAGGTATATGGGTAATGTATTATTAACACTTCTCAACCTAGCTCTTTCAAAATTTGCTGGGTGACTAAATATGTATTTTAGGGGCTATACTACATATTTAGCCTAGCCTAAGGGGCTATTCCAGCTGCGTCCGGACGCGTAGGTGAGCTCACGGGCTCAACCTGCGAGAATTTGCTAACACTAGCCCTAGCAAGAACAACGCTTCACAGAATCTATCACTGAATCGCGATCCACTGAGAAGATCAGGCGTAAAACTCAGTAGGCTAAATATGTGTGTAATTTGACGGTATCATGATGAAAAATCACAATCTCTCTGATCAAATCCACTCCTGGTAGGTGATCCACTTTGCATTACCACTGAACTATCTTTTTAAACTCGGTTTTATTAGATTTTATCATTCTCGATCCTGCAGACAGAATGGAAAGCAGTCGACGTCGCCCAAAACACGTCATTTCGGATCCGCCCGACCCACTAACGGTGCTTTTAGGTACCTCAAGCACCGGTCATCATTCTCGTCGAACCCGTCGCTTGCGACGAAGAGCTCGACGAGTAAATTAACCCTCAGACACAGCCCACTGAGTTTCTCGCCGGATCTTCTCAGTGGGTCGTGTTTCCGATCGGGTGGTAGATTCTGCGAAGCACGGCTCTTGCTAGGGTTCGTGTTAGCAACGTCGTCAGGTTTAAGCCCCGTGAGCTCACCTACTAGTTAAGGTTACGCTGAAATAGCCTCTCAAGGCGATCAGTTTAGGTAGGAAAAAAATTTAGATTTTAATAGATAATGGCAAATGAATACACGATTCATTAAGTTTCTTTCAGTGAGCTGGTATGCTTCTAAAATATCAAGTGTTTTTGAAAATCTAGTCTTTTCAAATGGAGCAAAACTTTTTTGAGATTAGGTAGCCCCTAGCTCATCAGCTACATCCTCACTACGAATGTTCCGTTCCAACTGAGTTTTTTTAAAGATGACATCTACATTACCCGTAATACGTTAGCAAAATCGCGTTTCGTCTGTAACATCAAAATTCTCTGACTCAAATACGGTTGAACCGATTTTGTGCTATTCTTTTTGACACTGCATACAATAGAAAAACAATGGTGAAAAGATGGAAAACCTTTTTTATTTTCCTGTTTGAAAAATATCATCTATTTGATGGTATAATATCACAATCCCTCAACTCTACGGCGGATGAAAGCTTACAAGAGTCGTTTGGTGCGGCAGGGCCAATGTCCGCGGTCTGCTCCCAATAAGTGCAGACCGTCAGACTGTGCAGACCGTGCAGACCGTGTCTCCTAGGCGCGGACACCTGGTAGGAGGCTCGGCCCCCTGCCGAAAAAAAAATGTCTTGCGTCGCTTAACAAACACAGCAACGAATGGATTTTAAACAGCATTGTCACTTGCGATGAAAAATTGATGTTTTTTGATGTTACGCCGGCAAGAGTAACGCCATCTATCGCCGAATAGCCCAACGAATATTAAAGGATATAGTAGCACCGAGAACGCTCGAGAAGTACAACGCCATCTATTGTCAGATAGCGGAAACACAATACTAGAGATATGTGAAATATTCTCGATAATTCTAGGGATGTGGTATCGGCTATAAAAGCGTTGCAGGGATGGCACGCAGTCAGTCAGTAATCGGAACTACTCGAAGCGAAACAGCGGACGGATCTCCTGAAACGAAGCGGAAGAAGTGAATTGAGAATTTTAAAGTGTTTGTGAAGTGTTTTAAGTGTTGAATATAGTGTAAACTTGTGATTCGGTAGAATTTTTATTTATCCCGAACGCCAGCGCGTAATAATAATCATAAGTTGTCATAATGTTAGTAAGACACTGGTTCAGCACCTAAATAAAGACCTAAACCAAAACTTAGGTACCCCTAAGAAGTCAAGGTCACTGTTTGGTGGTCTAATGCCGGTATAATTAATCACAGCTTCTTACCAGCACTTCTTCACCAGCGTTACTTCAGGTGAGTACTGTGAGGAACTGTGAGGACACAATGATGGAGGAGAAGCTCGCGAATCTCCGACCGGACTTGGTTAATCGCTCGTCACCGATGCTCCTATACGACAACGCTTCATACGGCATAATACGGACGGTCTCTAAGCTACAAGGGCAAATAGAGCAAGAGCCCGTGAACCTTCGTTATTTTATGAAAGCTTGTCAGCGCATCCTCCCAACACGGGTAAGAACGATGAACCATTATGAAGTTTGGGTAATCGTGGCTTTGGCAGGAAAACGGTAATAAAAGTGTGTAAAATACTGAGTTTACACACCTTTAGTATCGTTTTCCTGTCTGAATTTGAATTAGATCAGAATGAAAATCGATCAGTTCTAAATTGATCAAATAATAAAGTGCGATTTTTTGGTATTAGCTAATATTAAAAATTACGTTATTCATTACCAGACACAACATTGTGGCAACCCCTTGCCAGACACCTTTAATGTTCATGAAATTATAATTGTACGTACCTACGGTAATAGTATAAAAGCTGATTTTTATATACAATACTTGGATAATAAGTAGATGACGTTTCATCATTAACCAGACATTTTTGATAGTTCCAACCCCTTGCCAGACAAGTATTTTAAATGTTAAGAAGAGATTCGTGATTAGAATGACTTATCTAAAAACTAAAAATCTCTTCTCTTCTTTGTCTCACCTTATCCCACTAGGTTGGGTCGGCACACAAAATTTTTCTATTTCATTCTCTTCTATCAGCCGTCATCTCAACACTGACTACTCTCTCTCTTATCTCGTCATTCACACACTCCATGTGTGTCTTCTTCGATCGACCTCTTCCTCTTTTTTTATTTATTACATCATACATCTATATATACATCTCCTAGTCACATGTAGCCTGCCGTTCTAAGCCGTTCCAATTCCAAGTGATTGATATTTAATACATTTTTTATTTATTGCTTAGATGGTTGGACGAGCTCACAGCCCACCTGGTGTTAAGTGGTTACTGGAGCCCATAGACATCCACAACGTAAATGCGCCATCCACCTTGAGATATAAGTTCTAAGGTCTCAGTATAGTTACAATGGCTGCCCCACCCTTCAAACCGAAACGCATTACTGCTTCACGGCAGAAATAGGCAGGGCGGTGGTAACCACTCGCGCGGACTCACAAGAAGTCCTACCACCAGTAATTACGCAAATTATAATTTTGCAGGTTTCATTTTTATTACACAATGTTATTCCTTCACCATGGAAGTCAATTGTGAACATTTGTTGAGTACGTATTTCATTACAATGATATATAAGATATAAAACATTGGATGAGCCCTAAAAATGACAGCATAAAATATATTTTATCAGCAGAAATAGACAAGATGAAAGTACCTAATGCCTCAAACCTATCAACACCCAGGGTTCTTAATTTTCCCTAGCACCACTAATCATGGTAAACTTAATAATCACTATCATTAGCAGCATTATATATATATATATTATATATATATCAGACCCTTTCATTATTTCTCTGCAACCTGTATTGTATTCCTGTATTCCTGTTACATAAAAAAAGTAGACTGCAGGCTGTTGCTGATATCCATGATTAAAGTGATATTTTACCATTGCCTGCCTGCAATGGCAATGAATAAAACATAGTAGCTCTAATTCCTCATAAATACCCATGGTATGTTCCAACAAATACTAAAAATTGACAAGCAAAAAATATTTTATTGTCCCTTATTCTTAATTAATTTATTTTTCTTAATCAAGCTCTTGGTGTTATCATTTAACTGCTCAAAGAATGCTTTTGAAGTCTTCACTGATTTGTCACTGACTTCTACACTCTTTGTAGTATTCCTGCTGTCTGTTACTTTTGTAACCTGTCCTTTTTTCTTCTGCAATTTCTTCTTTTTCCTTCTTTCTCTATTTTTGTCTGTCTTTGTTCTCTCTTCTTTGCTAATAAGATCTCCTTTCTGTTTCCTCTTAACTTCCTCGGGAGCCAGTAGCGCTGCATCACTGGTAGCTACTGGAGCCACCTCCTCCATCGATATTGCTGGAGTATTTGATACAATTGTCACTTCAGGCTGTACAGCTTTCGGTGTGTAGTGATAATGACTCAGTGCATCTAATTTTGAGAATAACTGTGACATGGCTTCTCGAATTTCTTTATGTGCTTCTGGTTCTTTTTCTTCTACAATCTCTCCTGATGCTGCCTGTTTCTGTTTTAAGTACTCCGCCTCATAGACTTGAGCTAAGCTTAGCTTGCTCTTTGAATGATCTAAAATTTCTTTCTTTCGGAATGCCAGTTGGTCATCAACTGGCTTTTCTTTTTTAACAACATCATCCCATGCTTTATCTTTGATTCTACGTTTAATTATGTCTTCTAAAGTAAATGTGGTCTGTTCAGTTATAATTGGAGCTGGACGTGTTGTTAAATCAAAATCCACAACTTCTTGAAGAAGTGAGTTTTGAGGACGTTTCGATGCATCCACTTCACCTTTGAGTTGCCAAGAGGCTTCTTTCAAAGTCTTTTCCTCTAGTCGTTGAATGTGTTGTTTTAGCCTTTGCTGGCGTTGCTCAAACTCAGACTGTTTTTCTTCAATTGTTTTACTATTTACTTTATTGTTTTTATTACTATCAACTGAATTGTCATCTGAATCATCAATAGATGGTTGTGAGAATCGGACTCGCTTTTTTTTATTTGACTGCTCTGTAACCTCCTCTTCTTCATCTTCAACTGAGTCATCTATTTCCTGGTCCATATCATAATCCCCATCTTCAGCACCATCTTGATCAAAAAAGTCATTATACATGACATTTTCATCTTCCTCCTCCTCATTGTCATCTTCGAAGAAATCTATAGACTCCTCATCACTGTCACGATCACCTTTGGTTCTATTTGTTTGTTTTTTTTCTTCTTTCAATAAAAACTCTTCCATTTCGGAAAGTTTGAAAAACTTGTCATCCACCTGCGAAGGCCTGGTTTTCTTTTTTGGTACATCACTTTGAACTCGTTGAGATCTGCCATGCTCAAGTTCAATATTCTCAGATACTTTTTCTTCATCATCTTCTACCATAGGTTCAACACCATGAGGTAAGATCTCCTTGGGTTTTTCTTTAGCAACTTTTACGGGAAATACTAATTCGTTTTTTGCGCTCATAGAGTTGGCCACCTCCCACACTATCTGGTCCCAGCGTTGAGAGTTCTGCAGCTCTATCTGTTGCCATATCTGCTCCTCATCAAAATCTTCCACAATTAATTCCTTTAAGGCCCCACTCTTCTTCTTCTTATCGCTCTTCTCCTGAGATTTCGTGTAATCATATACCGATTTTACAAACCTTTTTAGGTCCTCTTTCAACTCTTTTTGCACAGACAAAAATTTTACTGGTTTATCAGTGTAACTGTTGAATTTATTAAGTATACCTTCCAAATCTATGCAAGCCATTTTAATGTAATAAATATGATAATTTTATCTTTAATGTGTCATGTAAAATTTAAGATACGGAATTACTGAAACTACCAAAGAAAACAAATCGCTGCAAAACCAAAAAACACACGCGGTGCATTATTTTGACGTTTGATCTAATGGCAGCATTGGCAACTAAATGACACAATGGTCTATTTGACATTTGTGTATTTTTTCATTCGTCCATTGAAAGGCCAAGAAAACATAGGCTATTTAAAAGAAATCTGTTACGGCAAAAATAATATCTTGGAATCAAATATGGCATTAAAAATGTAAAGAGGGTGATGACCTTACAATAATTAATTCATTGCTCGCATGCTCGCCAAAAAATAATTTGATCTAAAATGTTATTACAAATCAGAATGTTCTGTTCATAGTGAATGGTGCACATCTATAGTTTTAAAAGGGCCAATGTATATTTTATTTTTATATTTTATTATATTTTAGACCTTAGAACCTTTATATCAAGATGTCTATGGGCTCCAGTAACCATTTAACACCAGGTGGGCTGTGAGCCCATCCACCCATCTAAACACTAAATATATAAATAAAGTAGAATATATTCCACATAAAGGAACAGTCACACATATGGAATGGTTTTAATACATTTTTTTAAATGTAAATAATCCTTCATGCTTTCTCAGGCTTAGGACTGACAACTTGGTTTATTAATATTAATAATATGTGAAACTAGTTTTGCCAAAATGTATTTAAATTAAAACATATAGCCCATATAGGCATGCCAGACCTAAAACAGAATAGACAAGTTCAGGAGTTTGGACTTAGTAAACGTTCGGATACATGCTAGGCCTTTTATCACAATTAAATATTTTTACCACCATAATAACAACTGTCTATTAATCATTTTAAAAGTATATTATCTTCAAATTTTAAGCAAGACATTACAAATAATACCATATTTTAAATGATATATAATATAACAGAGTACATTTACTATTGTATATAATAATTTATGCGTGTATCCGAATGTATTTACTAATACCAAAGGGGAATATGCATGCATGCTAATGTTATTGCTATGTTTTTTCTATTACAATAAGTGAAAGGAGAAAAGAGCATGATACAAACCGTTTGGGAACATGATGTATATGCCATCTTTTTCTATTTCCTTTTTATTTTTTTTATTTGTGAAAGTTAAAGTAAATAATAAAATATTCGTTAATTATAATTTGGTTTTGATTTTTAATTTCATTTGAGTTTGTCTTCGTAGGCTACCTTAATATCAAAACGTAAGTAATGTGCTTAACTGTATATTGTTTAAGCCTGTTATTTTTCACTTGAGTGCCCGCTGTTTCTATACGTCCATCTTCGTGATGCCCACGTATTTAACTCGTAATTATACTTTTTAGTCTTATAAAAAGTGTAATCTCTTATTATTTTACATGTTAACCCACACACAAAATTCATACGTGTGTTCTTTTTTACAAACTAATGAAAAGTATTTGCTTACAAATGGTCTATATGACTAAAAATAGGAGGTAATATTAGCTGAAATGCAGTAAATTTCAGGAAATAAATCATTCTGAAAAATTTAACATATACTAATGCTTTGTATTGTTTAATAACATATTATTATGCTTAACATATATGCTTTTAGCATTATCCACCATTAAGTTATACTTACTGATACTACACAAGGATTTTTTTTTTTTTAATTTTATGTTGTCTTTTATACTTTGATTAGTTTACAGATATGTAAATATGGGACTTAAAAAATTTTTGACCTGGATGTTAAGGTTTTGCATAGGATTATATTTTGGTTTGCTTGATATAAAAAGTGAATTTTAGTTACATGAACAGGAATATTTGGTTGTTCTTGTATATCACCATCTATAGTCAGGTGTCAAGTAATTAGAGAATTAAGTAGAATACACTGTAAGAATTCTTAGCTGATAATATAATCTCAATTCTGGTCGATATACCCATTTTTGCACACCTAAAAGGGCTCAAGCGGTAACTTGGTCATTACTTAATTTGGTGCATTAACTGAATTAAATATATCTTCTAAACATATATTAAGTAAATAAAAATAAATTAAATACTTTCTCTTGACTAAAAATGCCCTCATGAGTAAATACTGCATCTGAACATATTGAAGAAATAACATGTAAAAAAATGTATCAGTTAGGTATTCTGCTTGCAGCTCTGCCCACATATACATTAACTTTCTTAAGATATATTTTATCAAAATCCATTTAGCTGATTATGCTGGATTGATTAAATAACATGCAAATATTTTCTGATAATTTCTTCACATTCATAATTTTAGACAAAACAAAACGTCAATTCTAAATTATATATTAAAATCAAAATAATTCTGCCAAATTACATCCCAATTAAATTACCATTAAGATGAAACTATTATACCTCGGGAATAAATTACTGGGATTTATTGATTGATGAAGTTCAGAACTAGACTTTTGTTGAAATAAAATATTAAAGATGGATTAGTATCCCAAGGGAACACATTACCGGGATACGAAGTATCTTATGTGTTATTACAGGAAATGTACTATCTATGTGCCAATTTTCATCTAAATCTGCTCATTGATGTATGTTTGACTGAGTATCCAAACATCTTCACAAACATTTATAATATTGGTAAAACCGAAACACTTTGCTGTGACTATAGCTAATTGTTTAAAGAACATTAATTGCTTGAAAGTACTTGCATGTCGCCTGTTATCTTGATGCTACTGTGACAGAAACTTTTCCTGGAAACCAAAAACAACTATAGCAAATTTTACCCCAATCTGATGAATGGTTCTGGTGCACAGGAGGTACATACGTTGTTGAATAAATTGTTAATTTTATTAAATAGATGGATGGTCAAGATCAGCTGGAAATGAAGTTCAGCAGTGGGAGTGATGTAGGTGGACTAGAGCTCTGTATAGTTTGTGGAGACCGAGCATCTGGAAGACATTATGGTGCTATTAGTTGTGAAGGTACAATCTTTATTTATGATATTTTAAAATTGCCTTGCGTGATTCTTCTTGGTATAGAATAGTAGCTAGTAATGCTATCTTCTATCATGCCTGTCTTGGTCAGATGAATGATAGAATAGAATTGAGACTAACTCATGTCATTTAGTTGCATGTATATGGGCTCCGGTAACTATGGGCTCAATCAAATATATGAAGTAAATAAAAAAGTTGATAAACCTAAAGAAAACACGCTTTTATGGCTAGTTGAAATAAAAAACTGGTGCTAGATGTCAGTTATTGTAAATGTTATTGACAGATAGTGCTAAAAGTGATGTTGTTAATCATGAATATCCTGTGTGCATAGTGTGAATTTTTTTATTTCTCGATTGCCTAAAAATAAAAAATAAAAATTTTTTTTATGGAGTTGAAACAGCGCCCCTAGCGGCAAACGTCGGGAGGCCGTTCCAACTCACGAGCATACTCAAGGACACTGATCAGCATAGTAGCACAATTTTATGAAGTTATTACATCGTCATTGGTCCTTGATAAGTGTGCGAAGCTTCTATCCAATCCAATACTTTTCTGTGAAAATCTTGTCGAAGGATTCCATCATATAGATAAATGCAAAGTCACCAAGAGCATAAAATACACTATCTGCTGAACATCATGCTATGAACAGCAAGAGTGGAACTGTAAGCCTAATTAAGGAACACTCAGTAACTCGGTAATGTTATTTTATTTTTATTGCCCTTGTAGGCAGACGAGCATACGGCCGACCTGATGGTGAGTAGTTACCTTCGCCCATGGACTTCAGCAATGCCAAGGGCAGAGCCAAGCCGCTGCCTAACGCTGTTACCTTTTCCCTTCTGGTCTTTTAACCCTTTCGCTACCATCAATGACTATAGTCACCGACTGAAAGACACCGCCTATACACGACGGGTGATGTATGTTCTTTCAGCATAGAGCTCCGTTTCCTGCGAAACACTTTGTAGGAAAGCTTGGTGTAGTGAAAGCGTTAAAAGATAAAACGCAGGTATTCGTGAAACATAATAGATCAGAAATCGACGTGATTCCTTCAGAGCGCCACAAAGGACATAGGTGAACTGCATAACAGTCAAAGGGTTAAGACTTTTCCAACGTACTGAAATGTTTGCCGCTGGAAATTGTTTAATTTTATAAAAACGCCTTCGCATTGCATTATTTTAGAACAATTTATCATTAGAAAGGTTTAAGTATGCCAACTAAAAAAAAAAACACGTGTGACACTCGGGGACTGCCGCGGTAAAGCTATTGAATTGCATTTTTTATCAACTTATGCAATTATAATTACACAAAAATAATTTTAACATTACAACAATAATAAAATAAGACCACGCTATATTTATACACATTAACAAAAGCAAAACATTAACTGTCCTCTTCGGTTCTCTTCACACTCTTAAATTAGACCGCGCGAGACAGAGATAGGCAGACTTTTCATGATGCGCGTGCAGTGCGACGTCACGTCGCGCGCTTATTCATTATTCACAAACACTTCATAAGCGCAACGTGTGAATGTGTTGAACGCGAGCTACATGGTAGGCGGAGTGGAGGGTGTTAGGTTTTATTTTCGTTACGGAATTTCTTGATTCGGCCACCGTGCTCAAAGTCCGCGATAAAAGCTATGCAATAGCTTAATAAACATGTTATAGCAGACAACTTTTTTAACTTTTTAAGAGGAACACTTCTATCATACATTATTGTTGCGTAATTCTAACCGTTGACGCAGCGCACACAACGGAAGCTCTCAAAAGGAATAAAAAAACCGTTTTTGAAATATTTTCCATTCATGCTATTGGTCATAACGTGATATTATATCCTTGCTCGATAAATGGGCTATCTAACACTAATATTATTTCAATTCGAAACAGTAATACCTGAGATAAGCATATTCAAACAAATAAACTCTTCAGTTTTAGCATAGATATTTGGTCAAATGGGTTCATTTATGTTTCAAATACATCTTTAGCCTGGATTTGGTTCATGTGTTAAACTTTCCACTTATTGTATTTTTCAGGCTGTAAAGGTTTTTTCAAGCGTTCAATCAGAAAGAAGCTCGGGTACCAGTGTCGAGGTACTATGAACTGTGAAGTGACCAAGCATCACCGGAACCGGTGCCAGTACTGCAGGCTGCAAAAGTGTCTTGCTTGCGGGATGAGGAGCGACTGTGAGTTGTTCTCTTTATTATTATTATTATTTAGTTCTTAGCAATATTTTTTATTATTAGTACACAAGTCTACCTGGTAATTGAACCATGGACTCTACACACAAAACATCTCTAAAGAATGTTGTTACCTTCTATATTGAAAAATCAAAATTCACTACCATCAACTTACAGCTAAATGCATCAGATGTTAGTGCATCGGATCACTGTCCTATCTATTTCTGCTGTGAGTCGTACCTTCCAGCGTGAGGGGTGGGACAATCATAAGGCGTAACAATGGAGACTTCGAACCACTGCTCCTGGCATCAACTGAAACTATAAAAAAAGAAAAAATATAAAGTATCACAAGGCTCTGGACCCATAGACATAGTCCACTGACTTTCTTGCCGGATTTTCTCCATTGATCGTAGTCGGTGGTAGATTCAGCGAAGCGCTTGTGCTGCTAGGTCTAGCAATTCTCTTAGGTCGAGCCCTTGAGCTCACTAACTCGTCCGAGCATAGTTGGAATAGACCCTTTGGCTACCAGCGATTAGGTAAGAAAAAAACGCTCTCAAATGGTTCTTCATTTTTTTTACTGCCCTTGTAGGCAGAGAAGCATACGGCCCACTTGAAGATGAGTGATTACCGTCGCCCATGGACTTCGGCAATGCCAGGGGCAGAGCCAAGCCCTTCAGAGCCTTCTTCAGAGGATGTGCACTGTTAATGGTTTATAAGTACGATAACCAAACACTGCTTCCGGCTGCTTCGGAAATACTTGTCGGGCCAATAAATAATTATAAATAAATAAATATTTACTAACAATCACACCACGTTAACTAGTCCCGTGCTAAGTTCGTAAAGAACTTGTATTACAGGATGGAAATAAATGTAAGATTTTTATTATACACATACATATGTTTAATATACATCCATAACCCTGGAAAAGACATTTATATTTATCATACAAATATCTTCTTTTGGCGGGATTCGAAGCCGCGACCCCCTTGTGTAGTGACCATGTCACTTACCACTACACCAGACGGCCGATAAATTGAAATGGTACAATAATAATGTGGAGCAGTAATTCTTGCACTGTTTGCGACAGCGGTCCAGCACGAACGGAAGCCGATCGTGGACAAGAACAAGTCGGAGCCGCGGGACGGGCTGGCCGACCGGCAGGCCGCCTACTCCAAACTGCTGGGACTCGCGGGCCAGGCTCCCAGCGCACAGGTAACCATGGCAACGAGCCGTCGCTTCCCACTGAGTCTCTGTCGAACTGGGAGCGACCACCGCCCCTCGCAGTGGTGTACATAAGTGGAAGCGACCACTCACCTGCACCTAATGGAGTGGGTCCTAGCGCTCATCAACAGTACAACAAGCATCGCACCCTGAAAGAGAGTATCCAGTACCATTCGCGAGGCTCCTCCCTTGGCACTTGCGTATGTAAACATAAATCTATCATGAAAATGCCGTTCGAATCTAGCTTTTGTAGGATTTATTTTCTTGAAGTGAAACTTCTTTAGAATGGTTGTGATTTCAAACTCGATGAAACGAAATGAAACGAAACGAATAAATAAGTGCGCCGCGATTGGCTGCCGAAGCGGCTCCGAGCGGCGCCGATAAATCACGAAGCGCTCCACGCGGTCTCGCGTCCTCGACTAGTTCACTGTGTTTTTGACGTCCGTGCACGCTGTCGTGGCTCTCGGAGCGCCCTGAGATACTTTTATTTATGATTACTTTGTTATCAACAGATATCGCTGCACGTAAATTCAACAATGCCTGAATCGCGGTAACGAGATGTTACACAGTTGATAGACGTTCTCGTATTTCTCTTGCTAAGCCATACTTACCTGCCGTAGGGATACCGTGATCAGGCAGGCGATTTCCACAGGGTGAGGCTGCTCCATTGCACTGCGGAGTGGTTGATCCTTGCGATTATTTTTATTTTTTTATAAGTTTACTTCTACCGAGTGTGGTTTTGCACATTGCATACACACGCCTTTTTTTATCACAGTCGTTGCTCTGACGGCTGAATTTGTTGTTTACAAAAACCACGTTCATAAGGGGCAACAGTAGTTATGCAAACGTATCTGACGGGTGCGTGCGTGGCTGTAACCAGCTGTTGTGGGTTCCAGCAGCTGACCCCCAAGGAGGAGGCGGGCGAGGCGTTCGGCGCCGTGTCCCCCGCGCCCGCCATCAACTTCGCCCTGGCCGCCGCCGTCGCCTTCAACAAGAACTCAGGTGCGCCCTCACCACCCCGGGCTGCCTACCTACCCACCTACCTACCCACCTACCGCCCAATCTAATATTTTTAAAGTTTTGATATTTCTTAGTCATATGCACTCTTGGCAGTGGTCGTGGTCATCAGTTCGGGTGGTGATGCGCTTTATAAGACGTCACCATCCCTCGCACACTGCGGACCTTCTTATGCATTTGTTGACCGTTTAAAATTTGTAATGCTATGAATAGTGCAGATATATAATGATGATGAACTCTGAGAAATTAAAGTATCAGATGTTTGTTGAAGTTCCGTGTGTAAGTAAAGGAATGGTTATATCCAGTGTCTCCGTACCTGAACCCCGGCAGTCCTGGCGACATGGAGGGCGCTCGCAGACAACAGATCATGCTGCAAACGCAACTAGCTAAGAATCTCTTCAAAATGGGACAGTTTGGTAAGTCTACTAATTTTTTATGAAATAACAAAAATCTAGATATCTTTTTTTGTTATACACACTACTAATTAACTATTTTAACTACTACCTGACCCGGCAGACTTCGTAATGCCTCAATCGATAAATAAAAAACCTAAACTTTTGTATAAAATGAACTAAAAATAAAAACAAAAGGAATCCGTCCGACGGGGGACACATCAAAGAATAAACAAAATTGTCATCTTTATTTAATTCTGAGCATTTTCATATTTAATCCAAATCCCAAATTTCGTTCAGCCGTTCTCGAGTTTTAGCGAGACTAGCGAACAGCAATTCATTTTTATATAAATATAGATGTTTAGCTCAGCAAAATACTATGTCAAAAAAAATTCTATCTATTGTCTTAATTGAACCTACATGCTGTTCTGACCTTGATGTGGTGATCGACAGGAGCCATCAACGAGTACCTGCAGTCGGCGTACGGCGCCGCGCCCGAGCCCCCGCCCCCCGCCGACGACGCGCGCCCCGACGGTACCACACGCACGCACTTGCACGCACTACTGGACCCTTTTTTTTTTTTTTTTCGGGTAGTGGGCCGAACCTCCTACGAGGTCCCCGCGCCTAGGGGGCGCGCGGGGTATGTGAGACTCAACGATCTGCAGGTGTTGAGAGCAGACCGCGGGCCCAAGGAATTTAGGACCCACCCACTAAACGACTCCCCTGCACTCTTACATCCGACGTCCGATCCCCTCCGAGGTCAGAACCCGGATGAGGTAGGGGGGCTACCGCGGTCAACACTACAACCAGACGGCGCGGCTCACCCCAAGGACGCCCAGCCGACGGAGCCTTCGAGGCGAATCAAAGGCTCTGAAACGTCGGCCGTCTCGGTACGGCAGCCCGTCGGGCCGCCCAGACGGTGCCGTTGGTTTCCCGGAATACCCCGCTGGACCAGAACCAGCCTGCCAGGTCGGGACGCGATACACCGTCAACCGGTCGCTCTATTCACTCCACGGCAACGCGCCGCGCGGCCTCACCCCCTCAGGTCGCCCCTTGACCTTCACCGGGGGGAGGCCGCTACCTACACACTACTGGACCCTAGTCGCTGTCATGTCTGAGAATTAATTTAATCAAAATTCCGGTGATGTTTGGCGGAGCGCCCTGCCTTCAAAATGTGTGTGTGTATCGGTCGGTGAATTGAGATAGCAAGGCTTGCAGACGACGACTATGTTGAGAAGCCGAGACCAAAGTAGCATCTAAAAGTCGAGTCCGGACGCACCCGCTCATTGTCTCCTGCTGTCACTTCTATCTAGTTACTGGAGGTCACAAACACCGCCCGTAAGATATACATATTGACATCGTTATGTTCGTTGACAAGAGTATGTACAATTTCCAGAGATGGAGGTGTGCTCGGTGCTGGTGCCCGGCGGCGGCGCGCTGCCCCTGCACGCCGCCTGCGAGAGCGCCGCGCGCCTGCTGGCCGCCACCGCGCGCGCACTCGCCGCGCTGCCCGCCGCCACCGCGCTGCCGTACGTACCCGCGCGCACGCACCCGCACGCACCCGCACGCACGCACGCACCCGCACGCACGCACGCACCCGCACGCACGCACGCACCCGCACGCACGCACGCACCCGCACGCACGCACGCACCCGCACGCACGCACCCGCACGCACGCACGCACCCGCACGCACGCACCCGCACGCACGGAGGCACGGCTCTTGCAAGGGCCAGTGCTAGCAACACTCCGCTTAGATCAGCCTTTCCCAAAGTGGGCGATAACGCCCCCTTGTGGGCGCTGGAGGACCCAAGGGGGCGGTAAGAGACCCAGAAAAAAATGGAGGCGTTGTGTAGAGGCTTGGGAGGCGATTTGTAATTTCATCTAGCAGGGCTCTTAAACACCGACTGAGCTCTCGCTATAGTGGTTTTGAAGTAGGCGAAAAAATGGGGGCGCTAAAATAGATTTTATTCTCAAAGTGGGCAGTAGACAAAATTTGTTTGAGAACCTCTGGCTTAGAGCCTCTTGAGCTCACCTTCACGACAAGAAGCTGAAATAGCTTCTCAAGGCTAGCATAGGTAGAAAAAAGAAATATAATATTATTATTGTGAACCTTGAGAGCAGACGATTAGACCTATGAACATCAGCGATATTTGGGCACTGTGGAAGGATTTCAGAGTATGATAGTACTAGAGAGCAATGTCCCTTGCAAACAAGTCCTTGTATGTTTGCACGCAGAAAGAGTCTGCTGTATCGTGTATTGTAAGAAACTGCCGTAGCATCCCCCCACCCCTGAAGCAAACTCCACCCTTGATTTGCAACCGCTGCGCTAATGCACTGACCATTTCTACGGAATAAGGCTTACTTACACCAACCGATTTTTGATTGTTTTTTTAAAGTATTTTATGACCTGGTAACTAAGACCTTTAGGTCAAGTCTAATTTTAATTAAAACTTATAGGAAAAATTATTTTATGAAAAAAAGTTGATTAATATGAAATGAAATGAGATGATATGGAAATAAATATAATCTTAGTTAAATGGTGGTCTTTTAATGAGACTTTTTCAGTGGACTGTTTGGAGGATTCCGAGAAGTTACGTTAAGCAACTTTGTTTTGTTTTCCCACATTTGTGCACTTTCACGGATACTAAACAGTTAATAAACCACCGTTATTACACATTAAACACTCCTCGCATTCCCGCCAAAAGTCGATCCTTGATTGTGCTTTCTCGTGATATTACCAAGCGCTAAACGAGTGAAATCGTCCCTGTAGTGAGCAATAGGTTCATGTGGTCCACTCGGGCGGTAGACCGTATGCTTGTCTACTTCTGAAGACAATGTAACAAATTTTTTTATTGCTTAGGTGGGTGGATGAGCTCACAGTCCACCTGGTGTTAAATGGTTACTGGAGCCTATAGACATCTACAACGTAAATGCGCCACCCATCTTGAGATATAAGTTCTAAGATCTCAGTATAGTTACAACGGCTGCCCCACCTTTGCTTCATGGCAGAAACAGGCAGGGCGGTGGTATCTACCCGCGCGGACTCACGAGAGGTCCTACCGCCATATAAGGTTCGGTATATATTCTGATCAGGTTCGAGATCCAAGTGACGCTGTTCAAGAAGTCGTGGGCCGAGCTGTTCGTGCTGGGTCTGTGCAAGCTGTCGCACGAGATGTCCCTGGGCACGTTGCTGCCGAGCATGGCGGGGCACCTGCACGCCGTGCTGCGGGAGCGCGCGTCCGGCGCCGCAGCCGCGCACGCACCGCTCGACGACCACGCGCCCGAGGTCAGCTCAATAGATATGACACATCAATCAGTTATAGATAACTCGACTTTAACTCGTCGTGCTTAAAGGATAAGATGTCCGGTGCATTCGTGTTGAAGCGATGCACCGGTGTTCGAATCCCGCAGGCGGGTACCAATTTTTTTTATTGAGATACGTACTTAACAATTATTCACGATTGACTTCCATGGTGAAGGAATAACGACATCGTGTAAGAAAAATTAAACCCGCAAAATTGTAATTTGCGTAATTACTGGTGGCAGGACCTCTTGTGAGTCCGCGCGGGTAGGTACCACCACCCCGCCTATTTCTGCCGTGAAGCAATAATACATTTCGGCATGAAGGGTGGGGCAGTCGTTGTAACTATACTGAGACTTTGGAACTTATATCTCAAGGTGGGCTGCGCATTTACGTTGTAGATGTCTTTGGGGTCCAGTAACCACTTAACATCAGGTGCGCTGTGAGCTCGTCCAACCATCTAATCAACAAAAAAAATTATACACACAACACTATAAGTGTGAGCGAGAGGTCTGCTAATGGCCCCGCCACGCCGCCTCCACAGATCAGCGTGTGGGACTACACGGACGAGCGGATAGCGGAGATCATCTCGCTGCTCAACCGCCTGCAGCAGCTCGTGGCCGCCATGGAGCAGCTGCGGGTCACCGACCGCGAGTACGCGCAGCTGCGGGCGCTCTGCTTCTTCTCGCCCGGTGCGTACTGAACAACCAGCACCCACTCAGTTATAGCTCACTAGAGATGTGTAGCTCCGGAGTGAGTGACTGATATAACAAATATATATCACTCACACCGATAGAATGTATCACTAACTCAGCTATGCGGAATTTACATTACGAAATTAGTGTCATGCATGTTGAGCTCAGTTTCACGAAAGTAGTTTCGATATATGCGAAAGTAATTTCGTAAAAAAATTAGTGTCGCGAAATCCACAGTATCGCAGTAACCATGGCGCCTTCAGCATCACAGCTATATTTTTCTATATTCGATGTAGCTAAAGAAATGCTTATGTACCTAAAAACTTCAAGAAAAAGATTTTGGTAGATTCGAGGATGGTTAAAAAGAAGGCGTAATGAAGTTAGTCTCGGAATTAGCAGATGAAGATCTGTATGTGTTTCGGGTCCCAGAGACACTCGTGTCGCTGATATTCATTAATGAATTCTATGTTTTTACCTGTACTCCATGGTTTGATTTGCCATTTTCAACGCTTGAAGCGCGTGTGTGAAAAATACACACGTCCGCACAGTGCAGGCCCTTTCGCGACATTAGTTTCAAGTCTCGTCTACACTATGAAATTAGTTGCATGACACTAATTTCACCAAAAAATCGCGTAGGGTACAAAACTTATTTGCATTGAAATTAATACATGAATTACGAAAATATTAAATTAGACGTGAAACTGTTGGTAAAACTAACGTCACGAAATCAATTTCATGCCACGAATTTCGTAATGTAAATTCGCCCTTATGGGCTCAGTGATCTCATTTTAAAGATGTGTAGTAGACATGTGTAAGTAATGCGAGTGATATTACTCGGGTAATATTACTCTACGATGTAATGCAACATCACACATTACGCGAAGGAAACAAACATCACACTATCACCCAACATGTTTCTTTCTTTGTCGTGTAATGTTGCTTAATACATGAACGGAACCGAGCGAGCGAGACAGACCGATCGACGCAAAATAAATGAGCAAGCGACNAGCGCCTCATTCCCACGTAGTGCCATCTAGTAAATAATCCTTAACTTTATAATATGCCTTGTTGCACAAACGTTCCTTAACAGTTTTCTTAAATCTATGAACAGGTAGTAGTTGAACGTTTAGTGGGATCTTGTTGAAAAGCTGTACACCCAGCCCCCTAAAAGAGTTGCTTATTTTCTTAATTCGAGCCGCCGGCAACGTTATACGTATAAGCTTTCGTTTCGATGAATTAAAAACGGGTGACTTTCTCAGCGGCCCGTAGATTCCGCGAAAAAGTAGGGATTTTTTTTTTCTAAAATAGTCCGGAAGATCAGTGTAATAAATATCAAATCGTAAAATTATAGATTAGCAGATGGAAGAGGGTATTGTGAGCCCGCACGGGTAGGTACGGCCATCCTGCTTATTTTTACAACAAAGCAGTTTTGCGTTCAGCTTTATGGGATGGGACAGGCGTTACACAAGCTACACTTCAATTTTACGTTTCAAGGTAAGTGACGTTATTAACATTGTGATGTCTATGGGCCCCAGTAGCAACTTAGGACTCTATCTAACTATGCAATAAAAGGCTTAATAAACCAAATTGAGTTTTTGATGAAAATTTGCTGAATTGCAGTAAAATGATGATGCACTGTGGGAGGTAACCAAGAACACAAGATATTTGACAGATGCCTAAATCTGGCTGACGACATTTTCAAAATATATTGCATATATACAAGTTCCGAACAACAACATTCGGACCGTCGGTCTACCGAGCAATATCACCCGCTCGGTGGAAGATCTTCCACGACGTGAGGAGAATGAATGCGTATCATTGGAGTGGAGAGGTCTGGCCAAACGGCTCAAATAACGATCTTCTGTCCCCCGGTTCCTGGAGAAACATGATTTAATGTGAACAAGGACATCGCTAGATCTATTATATCTGGGGTCAAGATCCTTTCTGTGTAGCTAAGTAACTGTATTAAGTGATTGGGTATTTTCTCTTATTTGAACGCTAATTCTTTTTCCAATAATATTAACGACAATCTTAAAGGACTACATATCACTCCTGAGTCATTAAAATTAGTTAAATAAAATGACGAAAATGTCGCAACACGTCAAAATCCACCAAATGACTTTCCATTCTGAAAACATGTATTCTAACCTAAGAGCCCGTGGGCGAATACCTGTATGTATTTGACCAGACCTGAATTTTTGTACATTGAAACCCCTGTACCTACCATGCATGAGGTGGGAACTCACTAAGCTCAAAGTGGTGGACGCGCCGAGCGCTCAGGTAAGACAGGTATCGATTTTTGACGAATTTTAAATCAATTTGACCAGGTCTGCCGTTTTAAAATTAAAAAAATATATAAGATTACTAGCTGACCCGGCAGACTTCGTAGTGCCTCAATCGATAAATAAAAGACCTAAACTTTTGTATCAAATAAACTTAAAACAAACAAAAGGAATCCTTCCGACGGAGGACACATCAAAAGAAAAACAATTTTTTTTTTTTTTTTTTTTTTTTTTTTTTTTTTTTTTTTTTTTTTTTTTTTTTTTTTTTTTTTTTTTTTTTTTTTTTTTTTTTTTTTTTTTTTTTTTTTTTTTTTTTTTTTTTTTTTTTTTTTTTATTTATTTAATTCCGAGCATTTTCATATTTATCTACCTTTTAAACCTTCCCTGAACTTCTACAAATAATTCAAGACCAAAATTAGCCAAATCTGTCCAGCCGTTCTCGAGTTTTAGCGAGACTAACGAACAGCAATTCATTTATATATATATAGATTACTATCGGAAAATATATGATTATTCCTATCGGAAAATAAGAATAGCAGACCATTATCGCGCGTTTTACTTTGTGGCAGACAATTTTGAAAATGCTAAAAAAATAAAATTTGGTCTTTGTCCACCTCTATATCTACTAACATTTATACAAAATTAATTCTTTGAATAAAGAATAATCTCGCAAATTCTCGTAAACCAAGCAAGCTCTTCACTTTACTTTGATGTGAACGGAGCATTAAACTTACAAGTTGCGACACGTCAAGCTGCGAGGGAAGAGAGGGGATCCATTTGTCAGCCTCTTAATTACGCTTGTTTTGGTACGAAACTTAAACATTATATTACAACTCAGATGGACCGATGGAGTTCTCGAGCTGGGTGTGTTTGTGTTGGCGAAACTGAAACATTAAACTTAGATGTTGACAGTCGATGTCTGAGTGGATGTAAAATAAGTATTACTTTTTCCCAACTTGAAGATTTTTGTTTGCAAAAGGCTCGTGTACTTAGGGCATGTCTGGCGCTATTACTGAAGCTCATAAAAAACTCACCGCTGCTCATACTCAGACTATTTCCCAGTATTGTGAGTCTCAATGGATAAATATAACCAATATATTGACCAAACAAATATGTGAAAAGCGATCCCTGATACATTCAAATGCGTATCTGTTTTTATTTTCATTCCCAAATCCTTTCGTGTCCTCTGAAAGGGACACCCATTTAATTTTTTATACAAGTCGCGATCCTAATTTCATGACTTCAATTAAACATATGGCCGGTGAGCATTGTTTTTGTGATCGACTGAAACCTTTGATGTTCAATGTAATTTAGCTACACATTTATCACTGTAATGAACTTTGAAAAGTAGTGGTCTGCAGTGGATTTTCGATAATCCTGGTTTTATAGAAGGTTTTCGAGGTAATCTATGATATATCATCTTTCAATTTTTTTTCCATATATATCGATTACATATATACGATTTGCATATAAATCGATTTGAATGTTTGAAAGTACTTCGTGATACGACAGGACAAAAATTGTTTTCAAAGACAAGTAGTTTGTTTTGTTACTGTTAACTTTTAGCAGATCGTAATTTATATAAGATCTTCATATTGCCAACAGAAAACAATGGTAGTCGAACATGTCGCCGCTTCACTTATTTGGCAATAATTTAAAGAACAAACAAGAATATGATATTTCTAAAACATAATATCGTTCTAAGAGATCCACGTGTAAGTACCATAGTATATATTATAATATACTGTATACTTAATATAATATACGTTACGTTTTTAGGTGAAATTACCTTTCGTTATTAGGACAAAATCTTTCTATGGCAAAATAATGTCGAATTCTTCTTCCTATAGTTAATAGTGTTACGCCGGTAAGAGTAACACCATCTATCGCCGAATAGCCGAACGAATATCGAAGGATCTAGTAACATCTAGAACGCTCGAGAAGTACAACGCCATCTTTTGTCAAATAGCGGAAACACACGTCGAAGGTACTCGACTTGTGAGGAATGCGCTCGACGATTCTAGGGAAGTCGAATCGACTTTAAAAGCGTTGCAGAGATGGCACGCAGTAAATTAGTAATTGAAACTACTCGAAGCGAAACAGCGCACGTATCACCTGAAGCGAAGCAGAAGAAGTGAATTAAGAATTTTAAAGTATTCTGTTAGTGTTCTAAGTGCTAATACAATTTTAATTTGTACTTTCGTGGAACTTTTTATTTAGCCCGAACCCCACCGCGTAACAATAGGTTACAAAAAAATAACAGGCTACACGAATTTCTCAAAGTATTCGAAGCTCTAAAACAGATCCCAGTTTCGCTATTTGTTCAACACTACAATATTGAGTTGTGGGGCTTTATTTCAAGTATCACTCAACGCTTTGAATAAATGGAGTCGAATTTTGTGAAGATAAATTTGTCCAAACAATATTGGTTATTTCTGAGGCACATCAATCGTGTATTCCGATCTGATTTTACTATTATTTTTTGGGCGAGCCTAGATAAGGTTTCAGCTTACATGCTAAGTGATGTCCATAGACACCAAAATTTGCACGAGGAATATTAACTGCATTGGATCTACGGCTCCCTTATCCTTCCAAACCAGAATACCATATTATTACGACTATGTCACAGCAGAAACAATGGTACGATACCAGCTTATAAGCTTAGAGTCTATAGTGACTGTTATTTATTTCTTAGATCGACGATCTCAAGCCCCACCTATTGGAAGTGAAGCAGTAATGCGTTTCGGTTTGAAGGCCGGGGCAGCCGTTGTATCTATACTGAGACCTTAGGACTTATATCTCAAGGTGGGTGGCGCATTTACGTTGTAGATGTCTATGGGCTCCAGTAACCACTTAACACCAGGTGG